AACAAAGCACATTGATGTTAGATATCATTGGTTACGTTCAGTGATTGAAGAACAGCAGATGCTATTGAAGAAAGTCCATACTGATAAAAATGTGGCAGATATGTTGACTAAGATACTTCACAGGGAAAAGCTTGAGCTTTGCAGTAACTTGGCCGGAATGAGTTCCCTGGCCAAGGTAAGTTCCAAATGAAATTGCTATGGTGATGAATCTCCTTCTAATGGGACTGGAGGGGGATATTGTTAGGAAAATGGGGTCCAGTCCCATGTAAGTGGTTTTGGACCAAGTAAAGGCCATGGGCCTTGATCTTTTATTTTACACAGAGCCCTAGCTATTTAATAAAAAAGAGGTGGGGTTGTTTAAGGTGTGTGTCGACAACCAAGCAGAAAAAGAAGAAAAGCCAGGAAAAACAGAGAGAGAAAAAGGAGAAGGGAGAGTTGGTTAAACGGAAGTCGATCCGTGGTCCGATTGAGTTGGAACCTTGTCAGGAGGTTTATGATTCAGAGTTATACATTCTGAACGGTGAAGATCGGGTTTGAAGCTCTCTAGGAACAAATCCAGGGTGTATTTGTTGAGTCACTTATTTGGTGAGATTTCTCCAATTGTTTATCTAGTTGTTGATTAACTCTAGTTTTAGCTAGAGAAGAACTATGTATAACTATTATTTGATAGTGAAGATTTTTCTGGTGGCCCGTGGTTTTTCCCTCTACACTGGAAGGTTTTCCACGTAAATCTTGGTGTGCTTTATTTTTCCTGCGTATTTGATTATTGATTGTTGTCTATTACTTCTGTATTGTTGTGATTATTGCTTCAGGCGCAATAGATTTATTTTTTAAATGTGCTTAAAATTTAAGTCCAAACTCATTTGTTGGACTTTAAATTCATGTCCAAATCTTTTCAAATTTTGGATGAATTTTTAGATTTGAGCAGATGACCCGATTCTCGAACGGGTTTGTTAGGAAGGAAAAGTGTTTGATGGTAGTGACATTGTATTTGGTTATTAGTCATGGTAAGATTTGGTAATTAATCCAAAATTAATTTAAAATAAATTAAATAAATAAAGAATTAAAAAATTGCCTCCATAATGAGTGGAAAGGAATTGATTGACATGTCCGTTTCTTAAGAACATGAAAGTAGTAAGACTTAGATTGAAATGCGACCCACCTTCTTTTAAAAGATTAAATAAATTAATTAATGAAAGGAAAAGGAAAAGTAGTAATAATGCAAAATAAAATAATGTGCAACTGGGAATCGACATGTGCCTTTGGATTTTTGGTTGGTAGGGTTGTTTGAGGAAATGAAAAAAAATTTTTGACATAAAATATTATAATATTTTTGTATATATGTCGTGGATGCAATGAAGAAAGAAAGAAAGATGAGTTATTAAAGTTGATGAATCTGATGAAGGAAAGTGCACTTTTCAAAGTGGAGAGAAAGAAAGAGATGAATCATTTGTGGACTAAAATCAAACTATTATACCTAATTTGTTTTTAAAGTTTGATTGATCAATTTTTTTATTATTTTAATATCACATTTTTTTAAATAAATTTAATAATTAATTTATATTTGTTTATTTCATATTAAATATATATAAAATATAAAAATTATCATATTACGATTCATGTTAACATGTTAAATACGAAATGGTTAAAATGTATTTTAGCTTTTGAATAATATTTCCTTTTATGATCTGGTAATTATATAAAAAAAAAAAATTCACAATTTGATATCTTGATTTTTATTCTGTTATGACATTTGCCCCAAGCATTCTCTTTTAATAATACATTGTCGTGGTAAGGAAACAATGAATAAACGTGGAACATTTTTATTGGCTAATATATGCCACATCATTATTTTACCTTACATAGTTAGTCAATGATGTTAAGTGATTAAAGAAAGCAAAGTTAAGATACCAAATTCTGATTTTTTTTTCTATAGGTATCAAATAGTGAAAAGTAATATAGTTCAAAGACCAATTTATACATTAACCCAATACAAAACACATTTCTTTTTTTATTTTTATCAAAATTATAAATAATTTTTATCAAAAATTTTAAATTATATCCCTTTTGTAACATGTTTAACATCATCTAACCTTGTCTTCTTTCTCTTCCCCTATGTTACTCTCTCATGCTCCACTATTTATGATTATGTCATGCGTATTTATCTTAAGGTTAGGTTAGCATTGTTGTTGTGATTAAAAAACTTTAGATTAAAAAAATATCTTTAAAAATTATGATAAAAAAATTGTGATTAGAAATTTTAAGTGTTTGGTATTATTGTGAAAAAGTATTATAAGTAATTAACATATCTAAAAAAAAGGTATAAAATAATAAATATTAAAAAATAAGAATAATAAAATTATTTTTTTATCTCAAACATTTTTTTTCACCGTAAAAATACATTTTAAAAAAGATTTTGTTTTGTATTGAAAAATCAACTTTTAAATCGAAAAATAAAAAAAAAATTTATTGTTTAATGTTATATTTAAGTAAAAAAATTTAAATGTAAAAATTACTTCCACCAATAATACTAAATGATATCATGAAGTGGAAGCAGTCGTTTATTTTGTTTAAAAAAGTAGCACAAATTTCAACAAACGCATCACATTAATGGCTTGTGTGTGTAATTTATCCCAACATGAAACAACCTTTTTTTCTCTGCGTCCCACCACGGTCCCCTTTGCTTAATATTTTAATTAAACATCAAGTACCCACCGTTTTCCTTTCCTCTCATTCTCCTTTTCCTTCCCTTTCTTCATCTTTCAGCTCTCTTGCTTCAGTGTTTTTGTGCAGTGATGATCAGCCAAACAAAGAAAAATGGTGACTGTGTTTGGTCATTCACCAGCTGACCAAAAATAGCCATCTACTTGCACATGGTATCACACTTTCTGCCTTTCTTTCCTCTTTTCTGCTGTTTTGAATCTTATATGTCACTAATTATGATGCTTAGAATTGTGGAGGAACCAATTTCAACGTTACTAATTATCAATGGTGAAAAAAAAATCGGAAACAGTAGTGTTTGAATTTGTCTTTTTTATTATGTTTGATTTAAGTTTGGATATTTAATATTTGTATTAAGAAGGTTCGATTTCAGATTAAGAAGTAAAAAATTAAAAATATTTGAATCGAATTATATATTTTTATTAATTTATATATTTTTTAAGTTTTTGTAAAATAAAAATAATTATTTTATATTTAAATTTATTTAAATATATTAACAAATTATTTTGCAATTATATAAAAAAATTAATTTTGAAAATGCGATGAACTAAATTAAACCTTAGATTCCGATCAATTTTTAAAATTTTATACTATTATATATTAACCAAAATAATCAAACCAAAATTGAATGGAACCAAATCATCTCTAACCATAGCTATTCTCTTGTATTTGTGGAAGTGTATTATAAACTAATGTGATTTTTTGCATGCAACTCAGTAGTCATGATTCACTTGTTTTGATCTATCAACTCTGATTTCTGGCCTTGCACCAATCAGCTACTCGGTTTCATATATAAAATTCTCTGTCTAAATTATGGTCACTGTTTTCTTCTTAGTTCTTAGTATCTATAACCTATGCAAATATCAGCATCTACCCACTTCTTGGTTTTGAGTTTTGGATGGTAAAATCAGTTGTCGCCTTCGGCTGATCTTTAATTTCCACATATACTTCATTCATGCTTTGTTAGCAATCTCTACTTTCTTGGAGTATTGACTATGAAGGGCTTATTTGGATCCATTGTTAAATTAATTTTGATGAGATTGAAAATAATAATGTTAGTGAAATTAGGTAATAAATGATAAAATTAAAATAAATATTGAGAATATATATTTGGATGTAAATATAATAGTATTTGTGATATTTTTCATTTTTTACACTAAGACAATCAACAATATTAGGGCAGTCGACTGTCTTAGGTAGTCGATTGCCCTAGAGTTCAGTTATCACTGAATCGAACTCTTTCCTTTTGAGTTACAAATTGCAGGATGATCCAAGATCATTGTACCGTTGGGTGCTACCCAAATGAACTACACGATGCAATTAATAACCCGAAAGTCTTCTTAGCTTTCTTTTATTTCATTTGTTTCTCTCTTTTCATCCTCTTATAATAAAAGATTGTTTTGCTATAGTTTATTATTCTTAACACTTTGTTACACAAATTTAAATTTGAATTCCTTTAATGCTTTATATGCTGTTTTAAACTCCTTTAAGCACTCAAAATAATGAAAATTTTTTAATTCTATAGCAAACAATTGAAGTTTAGCTTGATTGGCCAATGACATGTGCCTTCTTTCACCCTTCTTACAACTCTGCTTATGGTCCCTGCTTTTTTGGCCATTCTTATGGTCCCTGGTTATGAAACCCTTTTTATTTAGTTTAATTAGATTTTCAGAGATTTCTGTCTTTCCATCCCTACTTTTTTCCCTTTTCCAATATTGTGTCCTGTTTGAGTCAATAATTAATCTATGTTATGTGTGTTTTATGTCAAACACACGTAAAATATAAAAATTTTCATATTATAATTTATGTCTACATATCAAACGCGTAATATATATATTTTTGTTTTAACCAAATTTATATATGATTTTTGTTAAAAATTTTAATCATATTTTTTTATTAATTTTTTCTTGTACTTTTGTGTCGTTTCAGTATGCCTTTTTTTTTTTACTAATGCTCCTCACTAGAATTTTGTATTCATGTATGTTTGCTACAAAACATTATCCTTTACCGCATCTGGATTTTTTTTTCCTTAAAAGAATAAAAGATAAGCCTAAAATTGCCATTTGCTGAGGTACTTGCAAGCGATGTATCCTTGCAAAGAACACAGTTCCAAATTGAAAGGGGCAGTAGAATAGCATTAGCAAAGAACATAACAATGGAATTAGGGCTTTGTTTTTGAATCATGTTTTACCTCACTTTTTGAACCAATTTTAGCAAATTAGATTATGCTAAAATTGCCATTTGAATCTTATTCGTTGAACAAGGAGTTATGCACGAACCAACTGAGCCAAATGTTTGGATGCTAGCAATTTACTTGAAAATCTAATAGAAAGGGAGGGAATGATGTTCTATGTTCTTACTTTGATATTGTTTCAATTTGTTGAAGCTAACTGAACTGCCATGTTGTCCACAATCATAAAGTGCTGAAAGGTTCATAAACAGCCGAACGAAAAGTCAAATATAAGGTAGTAGAAAAACCTTTTCTCTAAACTGTTATATATGATTAGTAATATATAAATTTCCTAATAACTAAAATTTATTCTTTTGTGTGTTTGTGTTGCATAAAATATTAACAATTTGTATATTTGTATCATGTTTTATACAAAATTGTATGTCACTATTGTGTAACACGTAAAACATAAATTACATTCTGTTTTTGTTCAAATTTTATCTCATGCCTTTCAATCATTAAACAATATACACAACTACATTGCATTCCAAATGAATTTAATTTTTGTTTAAACTTTTTTGCTTGCTTATACATTGCTTTGTTCATCCACTGATTGAAGTTTAAGACATCAAATATTCCCCATCTCTCAGAAAATATGCAGGTGAAGACCATCCGGATTCTGAACAATGTAGTGTAGATTAGCTTTTACTCCGAATACAACCATGAAACCAGTTATTGACCTTGAAGTTGAGGCCTCAGAAAACGAGTCTGATGTTAGCAGCCAAGTAGATTCAAACTTGTCGATCCAAGAAACACCTGCTGTTGCTCCATCTATTGGCAGCCATGGTCACCGTGCGGATTCAGAGCCAGTTTCACTTGGTTTAACTCTATGCTTTAATATCGGTGAGTCAGGCACAAGTGAGAGTAGCAATGACCCGATATTGCACACTACAGCGTCACCCAGCCCTCGAGTTTTTTCCTGCAACTACTGCAAGCGCAAGTTCTATAGCTCGCAGGCACTTGGTGGCCACCAGAATGCACATAAAAGAGAAAGAACATTGGCAAAACGGGCAATGCGAATGGGAATATCTCTGCCTCTGCATGGAAAGACGTTCAGGTCTTTGGGGATCAAAGCACACTGTTCAGTACACCAGAGCTTTGCACCAGAAGCAAGACCACCAGATTCAAGAATCAATGCAAGATTTGAACATGGCTATCTTGGTTGGCCAATATTCATGGAAGGTGATGAGGGAGAGCTGTTGTGGCCTGGTAGCTTCCGTCGGATAGCTGAGGCAGGTAACACTGATCATCCAGGTTTTCTACTGCCTGGAAGTTCGAATATTAATTTTGTGGAGATTACTCAACCAGTGAACTTGGACTCTTCAGCACCAGACCTCACTCTGAAACTTTGAGGCTTTGCCTTTTGAAAAACATGTTTCTGTGCCAACAATTGCGTGATCTATCTGTTGGTAGAGTAATAGACTTTTAGTTTCACTAATTAGAATTTAAATCCTGACTGGTTCAAATATAAAAAAAACAAGTTTATGTACAGCGAGACGTGCACAAACTATGCTTAGCCAGCTAGTTTTTATTCCTCTTTTCTTTATCATTGTATGCTTGCCAGTGTATCAGAGCTTCTCGAGGATTATTTTGGAGCTCCTGTGCTTATTGTCGTTTTCTGAAGTTTCTAGTGCTGATTGATTGAACATTTGATCATATTTTCATTCTATCTTTACAAAAAGTGAGATCAAACTGATCTGTTTTGAAGTTTGAACCTTCTTGTTAAGGTCAAGCTCGTTAGGATTAAAGCACTACTCCTAATCTCCCAAAAACTATTATAAAATAAGTCCGAAGAAAAAAATAAAACACATGGATCACAAAGATTTATAACATTTTATTCTTAATGTGAATTATTTTCACTTGCATCTCTGGTAGACCTTTTTACTTAAGGATGTTTACAAATGATTGGCGCTATATAAATAAGTATAATTAGGACAAATTAAATGTGCGAAAATTTCAAAATACCTTTACTAATAATATAAAATTTGGTTGAGGGAGCTCTGTCTTCTTCACCACATCCATCTTATTACAAAAGTCGATTCACTGTATTAATTCTGTGTAAGGATACTAAAAAATCTTTTAGCTCTATTGGCCTAAACATACCCTATCGTCCTAATTGTTCATTCCGTTTGTCAATTTACCATGTCTATGGCGATAGGTTGGTGAATATCACTTACCATAGGAGGTTGAGATTGATGTAGTAGAGAGATGCTGAGAGAGTGTTTGACAAATGAGTCACATTTCGGTTGAGAATGTTCATAGCATCAATTAAAGTATGATTTTGCCCTTCAAACACAATTTTTATGGAGCTATTGATACCGTTCATATCTGGTTCACATTGATACTTTCATTATCAAGTATAGCCTGAAAAGAAGCCATCAGTGTAGTCTGACTTACCGTTCCAAGTTGCTCATCTCCTTTAGCTGGTTGAGCTTCCTCTGCAAGGTTTTGTGAGTTTCCTCCTTCTACCTCACTTTCCGGTTGAAGTTCCCCATCAATATACTGATTCCTTCTTCGTGGCATTGTTTTCAAAACTCAGTCCAACCGAGTGTGCCAATTCCATTGGTTGATTTTTAGGAAAAGCTTTATACCTCCAACATGAACGAGAATAAGCGTTACGAATAAGAAAGCTTGGATAATTTACTAGGTTGAAACTATGTCTTTCATGCATGAAAGGTAAAGATAATGCATTGAAAGGTAAAGGATAAAACATAAAAATGCTGAAAGATAAGGTAATTATTGAAAATGCGTGTTGATTGTGGTTTCCGATGATTGTTTTACAGATTCTAAATTTATATTTATACTTACATTAATTATACTTACGTTAATGAAAAAGAAAACAAAAATTCTAGGAGGTCCCACTAACTTTCTTATCTTCAAGTGCTTGATCACGAGTGATAATTGTAAATATAATCTTAAATCTTAAGAACTATATGTAATTATTAGAACACTAAATTTATTTAATTGAGTACTTGTTTGATTACACATAATTGATAAGCGAAAGTAATAGTAATCTTTAGTAGAAATTAGGTCTTATTCTTTGCTCTTCTCTTGGAGGCTCTCAACGAGAAGATGACGATAATAAGAAGTTATAAGGAGATCTTAGTTAATTTTATTAAAACTCTAGAAGTCTCCCCATCAAATGCTTATTGGGTTAAAGGCCTATACAACTGTCAAACCACATTAACTTAATAAGATGTGTAAAGCCCACACATAAGTGATAATAATTAAATTATTTAGGCTCTCATATTTGTCTATTAGTAGGGCTAAACTTATTAGCAATTTTATTAAATATGAAAATCAGCAATTAATAGCAGCTCATTCACTAAAAAATTTTAAGTTCTAACATTCTTCCACTTGGGCTGTTTGATTGGGTTGTTTGATTTTGAGAAAATATAATTTAGAAAACAAAACTTCGATTAACTTTACTTTGATATGGCCATAGATTTAAAAACAATTTAGCCCTTGAAACAACATCTTAATGATGTTGTTCAATAAAACCACCTAATATTGAATCATGACAACCATTATGCCCTATATTGACATAAGACTAATCTATAGTTACAAGTACCAAAGACTCCATCGACAATGAATCTCAGAGTGGTTGTGTAATAAGAAGATAACACTTAAATGTGATATTAATGTGTTATTTTTATTGTCAATTCTCTTGTTGATTTCTCTAAACTTATTGAGAAATCTTCGTAGCATTTAGATATGCTTGTATGTCTCTTCTTTATCCTCGAAATTATTTGTTGGTATCACTTATGAGACATAGTTAACTGACAACATAATCATACTTAACATAGATAACAAGTCTTAAGATTTTATAATATGACATGTCAATATAAGATTTGCATATGAAATCAGATGTATACATAAATAACAACTATGATAAATATATAAAATAATTATGTCCACTTAACATGATGGTACCTCATGGACTTATTTATCCAAAACAACAATGGTTTCAAAATCAAATTTACAATGTATCATTATCATAATCACCCAAAAACCTTAACAGATTTTTTTTTCATACTATAGACATTCAAATTATGAACTGATAATACTATATTCCTCACATAAAGAAAAGATGTCATCATATAATCAAATCACAATGACTATCACTAATTCAATGAATCATAAAAATGCTTCAATCAGATTTTAAATGATAAATAAAGAGCACAACAATAAATGTAGTCATAACAAAATTATTTATTGTCTACCCTCATGTCAAATATGATAACTGCTATTGTTTTTGGACTTTTATGATGTTACTTTAAAAAACCACTTACAAAATTACTAATATATTATGAATAAATTTTCGTATTCATATGTTTATACAACCTAAAATTCTTAATATCTTTACACGAGATCATTCTAACAAATTTGAAATTCATTGAATTACTAATCTTTTATATCTAAAATGTGCCTAAACTAATAGCCTATGAACTCAACTAATCTTAACACATATGATATTTCCAAATTAATAACTTTAGGACATTTATGAGTTTTTATTGATTTAAAACATATGTAGAAGAACTTCCACTAATCTTTATTTCCTTTAAAAGAATAGTTTTTTATTTAACAAAATACAACAAAGTCTAAACCTTTATAATATTCTTTTGGTAACTTTCAAGACTAAATAAATAATTCAAAACAAAAGAAGTGAAATAAGAGAAAACTATAAAATTCTTCTTCTTTCTCAAAAGTAAACCAACCAAATTCAAAAAAGATTATCAAAGAATGAATTGAGCCAATAAAAAGCAAAATTAATAGTTTACATATTTGCACAAAATTCATTCTTCAAAACTATCCACATGTGTGATAAGTGTAAAACATTATTGTTTTCCTCATGTGTGGGTTCTTTAAAAGGAAATATTAAATTTTCTTTAAAGACAAATTTTTAGCAAATGGCAACAAAATGCCATTTAAAAACAATAACTATTTAGTTTGATAATGGTAACTAAGATAATCAAACTAATATCTCAACTGAGAGTTAAACAACCAAAATAAATATTTGTTAAAACAAAATTACATTTCAACAACTCTAAAATTTACTTAAAATAAATTGGGATATCATAATAGATCTAAAACTTCCTTTGTGGAATCTAATCATCTTGGTTATCCCAAGGCATTATATAATAGATGTATATTGCAAATGAGATAAATTAAAGTGACTAAAATTTATACATTTATTATATTGTACAAAACATCTAAAAACTTATTACTCATAACAGATATTAACTTATGATGACAATTACTCAAATAAATAGAAATTGAAAACAAAGGCCAATCAATTATCCAAGCAAATAGTACTTTAATCAATTCAATTTTTTTACTAGTCTTATTAAAACAATTAAAGTGTCATGTCATAATTAATCTTAGATATTCTTTTAAAGAAAGCATTATCCCTTTGTGTGATCACACCTTAAAACAATGAAAAATGCAAAGACTTTAAAAAATATATCCCTTATAGATAGATAAATTCTCTAGGTTTATTATATTTTCACTTTATAAAAATGTTTCATAATTATCTCTAAATTAAAAAATATAATAATCCCCTTTGGGTAGTTAATCACATGTAATAACTTAGAGACAATCTATAACAACATAAAAAATTTTATTATCATTGTGGTTCTATTGATATTTTACGTTTATTTATACATGTAATCACTTCAAATGATATACTAATCTAAATGTACTTCTTTGGATCACTAAAAGTTAAAATTTAGAATGGCAGCACTATTTCAAGCAGTTTAAAAATTTTTAAATTATATTCCATAATCATGCTATCAATTAATAAAAACACTTAGAATGCCATATTACAAAGCAAATTGTCTTAACAATTAATAATGCTTTTATTATGGCATCTCATTTCAAACATGACTACAAAAATTTTGAAATTAAAAACCAATTAGCATAAAGAACATCTACCAATGTAGATATTTTATACTTACATGAGATTAAAAGAAAAATCTATAATGTTCATATCATAAATCTTAACATAATACATATTATGAATGTTAATAAAGTAGTCCATATACACACAATGATTTTGGTCTAAACCAATCTCATGTTCATGTGAAATATATTATTTTCAATATTACTAAGCATGAATTGTGAGAAAAACATTAAGGTTAATTAATCTAGCTAGCCTTAACAATATTACATTTTAGTTAAAACTTTTAATACTTTGAATTTGCAAAACTGATTTTGTTTACTCTTATAGATTGAAAGTTTTACTTATATCCATTTTAACTTTCATAGCTCATCATTAACAATTACCCAGGAGCTTGATGGTAATATTTATTATGTTTATAATTCCAAAGATATGCTTTAAATACTTACTAAGAAATAAAATTTTACTTGCTACTCTCTTAAAATATTATAAAACTATAATTACAAAATAATTAATATCTTATGAGAGCACACTTGATTTAATAAATAATTTGTAAAAGCAAAATGAAGGATAATGTAATAATATATGAACATAATCATAGATTGGAATAATATGGAAGACTTACTTGATTTGCAAAAGCACAGCGAAATTGTTTTTGTGGAAGTGTTACAGCAGTGATGTTGACTTGATTCACTAGTTAGGGACAAGATCATACATTCAAAAATTGTCCA